TTTCTCCTCACATTGTAAACTGATTGTAATTCATGAACTCAAAATGATTAGGAGAAAGAAAGATGCTAACTACCATAGTTATTTGGTTATAAGATGCACAGTTTTAATAAGAAAACTCTGTCTTCAGGTGGAAAGTTAGTGCTGAAATTTGGGTGCATCTTATAGCCGAGTATTTTTACGCAAGTAAAATCTTAAGATCACAATTTTAGCAGAACTTACAGTTACAAAGACATGAAAAGAACACTAATTGTTGGTCATTAACTATTTTAGATCTGGTGGTTCTAAAAAGAACCATCAAATGACCACGAAACCAATCTTACACGAGTAGAGCTTTTTTGGTCTGAGATGTAGCAAAGATTGCCTAGAATTCAATCCTTTATTCCTATGAATTTATAAGGAATACTACTTTTAGAACACTAATCAACTTCCATAGGAAAGCAAACAAACAGAAATTTGTGTACATTCTAAACAGCACATGCTCGGTAACATAATATCCATGACAACAAAACAATCATTCAAACCAATGTTTCAAATTCCTAGAATTGTGTTTGTGTTGCTTGCTCAAAAACTTCCATCTCTGAATAAACCATGTGGAGGTAAAACCTACCTCCGTCGCCCATCCAACCTTTTTTGTGCACTGAAACTTGCATCCTTGGTGGCATGTTGATATCCAGCTGGCGAACTGGGAGTTTTTGCCATTTGCTTTAACCACCAGAGCAACCATGAAACTTTTTCAGATCCATCACACATTTTGTTAACTCTCAACCTTTTGGTGCATCTTATAACTGACTATTTTCATGAAATTTTCAGTTTGGGAACTTGTCTTGACTAAGTTGTTAAGTTTGGGGTGCGTCTTATAACCGAGTGCATCTTATGACCGAGAAACTACCATAGATATTATTTGACTTCACTTTATCACTTAACACAAAATTTTCACTGTATATGTTATAGTGAATGAATGGCAGAGTGTAATGATAGCTGTAAATAGGATGAATATAATTGAATAAGATTCTGGGAGTGACAGAGTTTGGAGAAATTAAAAAAAGTTTAGCGTGAATGAAAAACATTTGATCTGCTTTTTATTTTGGGAGGAGAATTTGTTGTGAAAGTTATCCAGATCAGTAAGGTTGGGTTTCTCATCCATTCATGTACAGCTTTTCTTTTCTATTGCTATGGATTTTTCTACAAGTTACCAGTGATCAATATTTCTTACATTG